TCCGGGAGCTGGGCTTTGTGGGATGGCTCCGGGGTGAAGGCTGCTGGGGCACCCTGCCAGGGGGGCCTGCCCTCCAGGCCAGCAAGTTCCGTTCCCCCTTCCCAGACCGCCCCTCCCTGACCCCACCTCACCCAGCCAGGACTGAGAAACACGTCACCCTCCCGGTGGCCCTCAGGGTGTAGAAACCTGCTCCTCGCATGCTTCCGCTCTCACTTAAAAACCTCACGAACCACAGAACCAGAGTCATAGAAGCATTGGACAGACTGTCCAACCTATGAGGGAAGGCGGGGGGTGAGGGGGTAAGAGATCAACCAAAGGACTTGTAGGCACGCATATGAGCAGGACCCATGGACACAGACCGAGGGGGAGGGGGCGTGGGGGGGAGACAGCTGGGGAGAGGTCAATGGGGGGAAAAGGAGACTTATGTAATATTTTAAACAACAAAGAATTTAAAAAATTAAAAAACAAAGAACCTCATGAACCCTAGAAGCTGCCTCGTCCGTGTGCAAATGATGACACGGCCATCTGCCCAGCCACACGCAGGGAAGGACCGAATGGGGCAACCTGGACCCCCTGCTCGGCCCTCCCAGCATCCCCACCCCGCGGGCCACCAGGGCGCATGTGGTCAGCGAGAACCAAGCGTCATTAACAACCATTCGCTCTTCATTCACGAAAGAAACAAAAAGGGGGGGGGGGGGGAGGACCTCTGGAATACCCCAACAATAAAGGTTTATTTTTTTTTTAAATGATTAAAAACCAACAAACAAAAAGAGACCATGTGTGAAGCCTCCATGGGCCGCTGGCCCTGAGTAGCTGATTCTTCTTCTGTCTCGGAGGTGAGAAGCCCAGGTCACGGACTGGTCCACGCTCCCACACAAAGCCAGGCCACACGGCCACGGAGGGCAGGGGCCGCCAGGGCCCAGGGTTCTGCAGGGGAGAGGGCTGGTCCAGGGCCTCAGTTAGGACCGGCCGGGCCCTGCTCCTTTAAGAGCCGCAGGTCGGAATCGCAGCCCAGGCTGGCCTGGCACACGGCAGGGCCTTGCGTTTCATTCGGTGACCTTTCTGCTGGCACTAATGGAGGGCTTGCGTCCATGCCAGACGTGCGAGGCCCGGCCCGGAGTTGGTGGGGGGGACGGGGGGGGGGCGTGTGTGGAGCCTCCTTCTTCCAGTAAAAGGCAGGCGTTGGCAGGAGGCCGCTGAGAAGCTGGGCAGCTCCGTTGCTATTGCAAATCATAACAAGCCGATGATTGCAGCACTTGCTCTTCGTCTCCCCAGGTCGGCCCAGCCGAGTGCGAATTGCAACACGGCCGATGGACCTCAGCTCTTCTCTGAGTCTTTCTTTTTCCCTCTTTTTTTCAGTCCTCACCAGAGGATCTTTTTCCATTGATTTTTGGGGAGCGTGGAAGAGAGAGGGAAAGACAGAGAAACATCGATGTGAGAGAGACACATCGATTGGCTGCCTCCTGCACGCGCCCCGACCAGGGCCCGGGCCGGGGAGGAGCCTGCCACCGAGGTACATGCCCTTGACCGGAATCAACAGGCCGACGCGCTATCCACTGAACCACACCGGCCAGGGCTTCTTCGAGTCTTTCGCTAAGAACTACATGCAGTGAACCCCCGGCGCTCCTGCGAGCCCAGGCCACGCCGAGCGAGGCCCCAAGGCCTCCTGGACGTCCCGAGAATGAAGAGCCACAGAGATGAGAAGTTTGGTTTCCCAGTCACTGAAGTATCAGAAAACCCCCCCTGGGTCTGGCCGGCTTCTAGCCCCTGCTCGGCTGGGATCCCCGCCCGCTCGCCAGGGCCTCCCTTCCTCTGTCTGGGCCTCGCAGGCCGGCCGGCGCTGGGCCTGCCCCGTGCCAAATTGCTAGAGCTAACATTCGTGTCAGTGTTTCCATTATAAAATGCTCTCTCCCTCCCTTCAAGAATATATAACCCGACTGTTAACTCGCCCTCGGGGCCGGGCCGCGGGCTGGCAGACACGGTGTTTTTGTTTCCTATGGGGAGAGGGGCTGGGGGACCCGTGTGGACGGGCACGGGTCGTCAGAGGCACCCCTGGTCACCTGCGGCTCCCCCAGGTCATCTCACCAAGAGAAGGATGCAGGCGACCAGCTAGAGTTGCTCAGAGACAACCTCAGCCATGGCCACTCAGGGAAGCCTTAGAAACCTGTGGTGTGAGGTCCCGGTCCCAACAGCAGGGGGTGCTGTGCAGGGAAAAACACACGTGAATGGTGCGGCCGGTCCCGGCTCACCCCCATGCACTGCATCACCTTCGCCCGATTCTCTGAACCCCAGGTAACCCTTTCGATATCCAAGAATCAAACGTGCAGCAGTTTTACAATGTAGGAAAATTTAATACATACTCTATAAACAACAGTATTTACATCAGAAATCACCAGGACTGTGGCATTTCTCACAAATATAAATTAATTACTGTTTAGTCAACAGGTTTGAAAAGTCCACAATTTTACAAGAAAAAAACAAAAACCACCTGTCCCCGAACTCGGGGGGCGCAGACGGGATTAAGCAGCCTGGGCCTGCGGCCTGGCGCTCCTCGCCCGAGGCGGCCCCAGACAAGCAGGAGGCCTGGGCCGAGCGTTTGGTCTGCGGGATCTCAGCGTCGCCATCGCCGTGAGAATTACTGCGTTTGCACCGCACGTCCCGATGCGGCGATCAGACACCAGGCCGATGTGGGAAGGGTCTGGCTTCCCAGGGGGGGCTCAGGGCAGGACAGGAGGGGGAGCTGGGCCCTCAGGAGGGCCCCTCGGAGCCTGGCCGGGTCTCTCCAGGGGACTTTGGGTTCGTGGGTCCGTTTCCAGGGCGACAGGAGACGGTGTTGATCCTTGTTTATGTTCGGGTTTCAGGTGAGGCTACCTCCCTCCGCCTCGATCCTGCTATTTCTTCCCAATTCTGCAATCTGTCCGAGCCGGGTGCCATAAAAACCATCCTCACAGGTTCCTGGGCAGCCTCCCCCACCCTCGGGGAGAGAGGTCCCCCCTGTGCAAATCTCGGGTTTAATCTGAGTGCACAGCATTCACCCCGACTCGGGCCCCTGAGGAGGGGCCTCCCGCACGCGCTGCAGACACACTGCGCGCCTCCAGTAGATGCTTGATGGGGATACTGCAATTCCATAATCGAGCTAACACTGATCTGGCCGATACTGCCTTTTGCTACATCATATGGCACTCGGAGCCCTCACTGCAAACAAGAGGGGGTCCCTTTGTCCTCATGATGCGACATCTTTGGGAATAACTCACATCTCCCATCGACAACGAAAGTCCCTGACAGGCAGGGCCTCCGACGGGCCTCTTCGTAGTAAACACATCTCCCATCGACAACGAAAGTCCCTGACTGACAGGCAGGGCCTCCGACGGGCCTCTTCGTAGTAAAAGGAAACGCCGTGCCTCCAGAGGATGTGACGTGACCCCACGTCCCGCAGGGGAAGGCGCTGGGGCTCATCCCTGCCCCCCCACCCCCATCACTCCAGGCCCTGGCAGGCCAACCCCACCTTCCTCTGTGCCCGGGGCAACTCAAACATGGGGCAGGGTTAGAACCGTCAGCAAGGAGCTGAGGGTGGTGGCCAAAGCTGAGATCTGGTCCACCGCCCCCCACTGAACGGTCACAGCACCTCCCGGAGGATGGCTGCAGCCAGGGCCTCCCGGGCTGTCCTCAGGCTCTGCCTCAGGGCATGCCTGGCACACGCCTGGCGTGAAGAACCCCAACTAAGTACCAGGAGACGGTAGTGAGGAGGTGGTGGGGCCCACTGACCCCAGCACCAGCTGCAAGGACCCGAACTCTCCTCTGGCCAGGCCTGGGGTGCTCTGTGCAGCAGGGAGCCACGGCCACCGAAGCCACAAGGCCACTGAAGCCACGCCTGCTTCCCTCAGGATGCAACTCGGGGTTCATTAGCAAAGGCATCAGTGGTGCTGCCCGGGGGCCAGGCAAGGAAGGAGGAGTGATTTTAGGAAGCGCCCACAGGCCAGTCCCAGGAGGCTAATGCTGCGCACGCCCCCTGGAGGGTTTCACCAGCTCCGGCCGGGACACGTTCCAGGCGGTTTCCTGTCTCCGTCCAGGAAGGCCTGGGCTGCACTAACAATACTGACAAGCTGTGGACAGCGAAGGGGACAGAGGCCCGGCTCGGGAACATGACAGGAGCCTGCGTAACTGACACGACACCTGCCTCCCAGCCTCCGCACGCACTGCCTGCAGCTCCGTCCTCAGACGCCTGTCGTGGGAAGAAAGGACTCGGCCTATAACTCAGCTGAGCTCGTTCTAAAAGAAACTGATTCAGTCCCAATGACAACACAGGTAACAACGGACTTCTCGTCGGCCCCTCCCCCCGACGCTCTCAGGAGGTGTGACTCTGTCATCGCTTCTTTCAACTCTGCAAAGGGAACTAAAATGCAATCGGCAAATGCTGACCTAGCACAACACTGAGAGCTCCCCCACTTGCTGGCACTGCCTCCCCCCGGGGGAACCTGCTCCCACCTGCATGGGCACCCCCCTCCCACCAGCAGGCCTGCCTCTGCTCCCCCACCCCCACCACCGGGCCCTGGAGTTTTACTTCCTGTCCCAGGAATCGGAAATCCTCAGGGACTCACTTCCGGCCACATGCCCCCCACCCTGCCCACTCCCAACCCAGCCAGACCCACGCCTTCTCCAGTCTCAGCCTCAAGGCGGCCGCACCGACCTCGCTCCACGGCCCGGCAGGCCCGGGAGGCCGCAGCTTTGAAATGTACAGACAGCGTGGGAAAATTAGTGTTTGTGGGGAAGGGGCCGCGGTGAGCTGCTCCCCTCTCTGCCCCCCACCCCCTGCAACGTTAGCAGGTGTCACATCAAGAGGCCCAGGGGATCACTTGTCCCCAGAACACATCCAGGGGGTGCACCTGCTCCCCCCCCCTTCACGTCCTG